GAGGAGTCCTGCATGCAGCCTGGAGGGTAGTTGTTAATTTTGTGGGTTTTCTCCAGGAGACAGACAGGCAAATCTTATCAGCCCTCCTTGAGAAAGAAGCTGAGGACCAGTGTGGGCAGAGTGCACAGCAGGGACAGGCAGTGGCAGACGTGGCCTGGATGAAACGTGTCATTGAGGAACAGCTCCAGCTGGAAAAGGAGAGGGAAGCAGAGCTACAGACCATTTTTAGGTGAGTCTGTTCACCTCTGAACTTCAGCTGAAGAGACTCTGTGTGCTGAGTGTTCCTGATCAGAGGGTCTCTGAGAGGCAGATAAGCTTCCTGCCTGGGAACACACATGAAGAGAGGCCCCAGTGCCCCTCTGAAGCACAGGATGGCTCCTCTGTGCCCAAATATAGCATGGGCAGTACAGGGTAGACAGGGTTTTAACCTCAGAGATAATTCTTCCTCTCTCCTTTAGAGAAGAAGCTAGAAAACTGTGGGAGAAGAGGAAAGAGCAATGGGAAAGAGAGAAGATAGCCAGAGATTGCCTGATGACAGAGGTGATGCGATGACCTTTCTGGATGAGGTCTCTTGGCTCATTCCAGCTGTAACCCTCTACCCTCTGCAGAATTACAGCCTTCCCTACCCCAGGTGGAGTTTTTCTGCTTGACTGATGTTTTCTGGGAACTGTTCACCCACCTTCTCTCTCCCTTCACACAGGTCCTTGTGGGCAGACAGCGCCAGATCCAAGAGAAGATGGAGCTAAACAGACGTGCCCAGGAAGAGTCCATAAGGTATCGAGAGCAGCTGATCAAAGAGCTGGAAGAGGCCAAGGAGCTGAGTCGGAGGAAGAAGGAGCAGGAGGAGGAGCTGCAGGTGGGCTGAGCTTCCCAAATCCCTCCTGGCTGCTGGGGGTGTCCCATGGTGGTGACACCCCCATGGCTCCGTGCCCAGGTGACAGAGCAACACCTGCAAGAGGAGGAGGAGGAGGAGGAGGAGGAGCTGGTGCAGCAGGAGGCCGAGCACAGCCGTGGCCACAGGGTAGGTCACTCATGGGTCACCATGGCCACGTGGGTCACTCTGACACACGAGACCATGACCGAGGGTGACAGCACCAGGCAAACACGGTTCACATTGTGTCTGACCTGCACCTGAGCTGTCACACGGGGCCAGGGCAGGACACGGGTCTGGCCCTGCCCCTGGGGCTCTTTCTAGCAGAGCTCTAGAGTTCTCTCTCAGAAAGTGCTTTTCTCTTTGGCTGATGTTGATACAGACACTTCAGGGCCTAATTTGTAAAGAACTTTTGAGGCAGATGTGTTGCTAATGGCTCATGTTATTCAATGCTGAAAGCAATTTATCAGCTGCATTAATGCAGTTGGGACAGCACATCTCTGTTGCTCAGAGTCTTTGTCTTCTCTCCTGCTTTGCCTGGCTCTAAAAACAAAGCAGAATTTGAGTCACCCTACCTAAACCCCATGCCCAGGAGGTCACCTCCTTTGCATGCTGAATAGGCATGTGCAGATAAATTCTAAGCAGTTATGGTCTTTGGTTTTACCCCATTAGCTCCACAGTTACCCCAAAGCAGCTTGGACCTGAGAGATGAGCACGAGATGCAGCTCCAGAGAGCAGAAAGAAAACTTGGAAGACTCAAGGAATTCCTGAAGTAGCAGTGGCTCTGGAATAGCCTTACAGCAATGCCAGGACTTGACTCAGTAGATTTCTGAAGACATTTAGCTGTGGCCCAGCTGGACAAGAGTGGAGTTTCCACTGGCTTCAAGAGTGTGTGGTGTGAGGACCCTCAGTGCTGCCCTGTGCATTCTGGAGGTGAGAGACATGCCAGGCTGGGGCAACACAGCAAGTACAGGGCCCTGTGGATCTGAGCCATGAAGGAATCTGTCCAGTTCCTCTCCAGAAGGTGCTAAGATTTTAGTAAATGTTGTTTTTCACTTGTTTCATATATAAAGAATAATTGCAACCTGAACAAGGAGTTGTTTCTTCACACGAACAACACCAGGAGGGCAGTTTGTGTGAGTCCATGCTATTGTCATCAACTACTGCAGACTGGAACCAAGTCCTGTCACAGGCTGTGACCAAGACAGGAGCCAGCTCAGGGCTGTGACAAACTCAAGAGCCACCTCAGCACTTCACCTGACTATTACAGAAACCTCTTCCAAGTTGTCTACAGAAACAGCAGTCAAATACCCCCAAATTATTTCACACACTCTGAAGGGTTTTAGCATTTTATAGTAATACTGTAAACAAAAGATTAAGTCAAAATATTGTACAGACAGAATGACACTGATAAATACAAGGTTTGGAAAAAGGCTAAAAAGCTTTTCCTTTCCTCTGCAGCATTTTGTGAAGGAAGAGCAAGTTTGTTTTCAGGGGAACAAGAGGAGATCTAGTCATAAAAGAAAAAAAGCACCAGTGTTAGTTCAGGTGCTCTAAACGTTGTGACTGCAGTGCTGTGTGAGGGGAGGGCTAAGGGAATTGCTTCCCCCCTAGGTTGGAACCACTCTGACTTCAGCAAGGGCTGGCAGTGACCAAAGTGTCCCTGGGGTTTGGGTCAGAGGCAGGGGCTCACTCCCACCAAACCTCAGTGTCACCCTGCTCTGCAGAGCAGGTCAGATATGCTACAGAGCAGCACACAGAGGTGTCCTGAGAGGTTGAAAAATACCGTCTGGTGCCTTTCAGTGATGCCAGTTTAGGAGCAGTTCCTAGAAGATTCTCCCTGTATTTCATTGCCAGGAGCAGGATTTTGATGTCGGTTTCACAAGGGTCTGTGGCAGTTCTAATCCCAACCTGCCTGTGTTCCTGGCAGGCTAGAGATGCTTCTGGGATGCAGGAGAGCAGAAAGGGAATAAACACCCCAGTGAAGAACATTAATTCACTGGGTTGTTGTCTCCTCTCTCCATTCCTTCCCTCCCTCAGCCCTGGGGAGCCAATTACAGCACCAGGAATCCAACAGTTCTATAAGCACTTTGGATATCTATCCAAACACAGCATGACTGAAAAGAAACCAACCACAGCCCCAGGTGGCTCCTGGGCAGAGCCAGCAACACTTCTCCCTGGAGCACAGAGGCAGAAGTGAGGGATTTCCTCCCCCACCTGGAATTCAGACTCCCCCAAAACTCTCACATTTGAAATGATGGACTGACACACTCTTGTGAGCTGCTGTGAGTGAAGAAAGCTGAGGCACATCTGGGGCCTCACCCACCCCTGGGCCTGGCAGTGTGTAAAGGTGTCAAACTTTGCAAGATTTGCATCAGAACTTAGGAGATCTAAGAAATGTTTTCACATTTGGATATGTTGAGGTACAGAGGTTATGTGCTATGGCAGGCACAGCTGCTGCTGCACTGGCATTCTTGTAACTTCCTTTTGTTGTGGATTAGCACAGAAACCTTCAGTGAAGTTGCATGTGGAGGCACCAAGTGATGCTGCTGCTGCTGCTGCAGCAACACAGTGCCCCAATGCCAGGAAAATTCCATAGGAAACTTAAGGATGAATTACTAACTCAGAAACAAAGGATAATATTTTAACCACTAATGCCCTAAAGTAACATCAAACATATCTATGAATGGCATAGTGACAACTAAAAGAAATAACTATTAAAGGTTCAAATTCCTTCCAAAAACAGATAAAGTGACAAAGACCTTGTAGAGTTACACAGACCAAGCTTGGATGCTCACAACTACTATTGGTTTAGCAGACTAAAAAAACATATTGCACAACAGTTGATATGGGAACAGATCATTTTGGGCTTGTACCCTGTTACCAGGAGGGACAAACCTTTTTTCCTGCTGGTCCCGGAGCCTTGGGAGCCTCAGCCAGCAGGATCAGGGCACGTGAGGCTCCAGGACGGACAGAGTGGGGGCAGGACTGCCCTCCCACCCCTGCAGCTGACCTCAGAGGACTTTCACAAGCAGGACCTGCAAGCAGAACGTGGCCCCAAGGAAACATCTAGCAAGAGCTCGTACAGCGCTGGGACGTGATATTGGCTCGACAGCTATTTGCAACATGCTATTATCTGTAACTAAACTGGCAACACAGGCACAGAATAAGGCAGTGGGTTAAATTAATCATAAAACTGTTAGAAAACATGCAAAAATAATACTGAGTTTAAAAAAAAAAAAAAAAAAAGAGAGAGAAAGAGTTTCTTGCCCCTTTTAAGTTTCTCCTCGTGCGAAAACGCCAAGAGAGTTCCCACAGCTCTGTGTTGAGATCCAACCTGGGGAGAGCAGACTGGAGAAAGCCAGGAGTGCCTCAGTTGTTGTTCTCTTTGGTAGTGATGGTGACGAGCTGCTTGGCAGCCTTGGCGATGTCGTAGGCGCACTGGATGACCTGCTGGGTCACCAGCTGCAGGTCTGTGGTGGGACACGTCTCCACGGGCAGGGCCTTCTTGCACTCTGACTGCAGTCTGTAGGCACTAGATGTCAGCAGGCGCAGGGAAGTCCTCACCAGCTCCGATTTGGGCTTCTGGCAGGGGAAAGCAGAGGTTGAACTAGGCACAACAACACCTTTTGATGAGCTGGGAGTGCTACAAGGGTTGTTTGATACAGGACGTGGGTTTGGATCTGGTGCTGGAAGATATGGGTTAGGGGTGACTGCCAGGTTAAGAGTTGGACTTGATGATCTCAAAGGTCTCTTCCAATCTTGATTCTACTCTATGATTCCCTGACATCTGTCACCAGGCCCTGCCTCCTGCACAGGAGTTTCTCCTCTCAGGGAGATCTCAAATTGCTGCCAGGCAGCAACACAGGGAACACAGCTCCATGCTCTCCCTAAGGAAGTTACTCATCCACATTTCCTGGTGCCTGTTCCCAGCTGCCCAGCCCATGTCCTGGCTGGCAGCAGGGGACAGTGTGTCCAGGACAATCAGTTCAGACAGGCACAGCAGCCTTGGATCTCCCCTTGTAGTTTTGGAGAGGTAGGTAAGGTTTTACAGGAACTCAGTCATGGAGAATTCACTCCCTAAATTAGGTGTGAAGAAACAGATCACTTTGGTGGGTAACAGATCTAACCAGGACTGCAAGTCAGTAATCCAGGCAACAGCACTCCAATGGAAATACTGGATCCAAGTAGCCTCCAGTTTTGGAGGAACTAGGTGCAATTCTTAAGAGCTGGACTCACACTTCAGCCCTTCCCAGGTGCCATGCTAATAAAGACAGAGGTGCAAAGTATAAACCACTTCATTTCTCCCTACCTTCAACTTGTCTCCTCCTTTTCATTTCCTTTTCATTACTTCGATTTACCTTCCTTTTATTTACTGAAGGGAAATCTCAGAATCACAGGATCATTCAGGATGCAAAAGACCTCCAAGACCATCAAGTCCAACCTGTGACCCATCACCACCTTGTCAGTTAGAGCAGAGCAATGAGTGCCACATCCAGTTGTTCCTTGAGCACCTCCAGAGATGGTGACTCCACCACCTCCCTGGACAGCACATTCCAATGCCTGACAACCCTTTCTGTGAAGCAGTTCTTCCTGAAGAAGGAATGAGTCCAAAAGCATGTTGAAGCTGCAGGTGCTTACCTTGGGGAACAAGGCTGCCATTTCTGTCACTGCCACATGTATCCTCTCGGAGCACGGTATATAGCTGCAGAGAGAGGCTCTGGGTTAGTCAGCATGGAGAGACTTCTCTTCCTCTGCCAGGTCACTACTCAGCGATTGTTATTCTAAAAGCAACTACATGACTTCCAAAAAAAAGCAAAAACTTAACCAGAAGTGCAAAATGACTTAGTCATTTTTCATTGTTCTTCAGTTTGTGGGAAGGAATCGCTGCCCACATCTCTTACACCAACTGTTGTCAGCAAAGTCTGTCTGTCTGCAGCTATGGAAATGAGCCAATGTTCTAGAGTCATAGAGTGGTTTGGGTTGGAAGGACCTTGGAGATCATTTAGTCCAACCTCCTGCTATGGCCAGGGACACCTTGCACCAGCCCAGGTTGCTCCAAGCCCCATCCAACCCAGCCTGGAACACTCCCAGGGATGGAGCAGCCACAACTGCTCTGATCAACCTGTGCCAGTGCCTCAGCATCTCACAGGGAGGAATTTCTTCGTTATATCTAACCTCAATTTCCTCCCTTTCAGTGGGAACCCATTTCCCCTTGTCCTGCCATTCCAATTCTGATGCACAGTCCCTCTCCAGCTTCCCTGGAGCCCCTTCAGCCACTGGAAGGTGCTTGGAGGTGTCCACACAACCTTCTCCTCTCCAGGCTGAACAGCCTCAACCTTCAACCTGGCTGCACAGGGAAGGTGCTCCAGTCCCCTTAGCAACCTCATGGCCTTTTCTGGACTTGCTCCAATGCTCATTAAGCACACATTAATTCATATTCACGTTCCCTATCCTCCCCTGCCCAACTGGAATTCATCTCCAAAGTGTACAGCAAGTGGCTCAGCTTGTTTGGTGGATCACTGCTGTGTGCAGGACAGAATGCCCAAGTAAACTGGTTCGTGTCAATCAGGCACAAAGTCAAGTGAGATTCTGCAGCTTGCAAATATTTAAGCAAAATCTTTGGGGGAAAAAAAACCAGTTTGGTTTTTTTTCCCCCCCCTCAGTGCAGTGTTGGTGATCAAAAGTGGATCAAAAAACTCAGTTTGTATGTAGAAGCTGAGCAGGTTCAACTTGCTGCCATTTAGGGACATCTCTACCCATTTGTTTGGAGAGCTCTTATGGCAACAGACTGTAAAACCAGAGTACTAAAAGGGAAGCTTTTAAACTAAGGATCTAAGCAGCTAAAAATACCCAATAATCTTGGAAGAGAAGCTAAAAACCAAAGGTGTTGCAATCCATTTTATGTTTCAGAGTTGGATTTTGGCCATCCAAACTCTTAAAAAATACCCTGACAGCAAGTGTTGGTGTTTATGGGACTGTCCTGTGCTCAGTCTGAAGCAATGCAGTTTTCCTGCACTGCTTTTAAACAACACTTTGCACCTGAGTTCCCAAAACAAATCCCAAAACTGTGTTCAAAACAGCTGTGAGCAAGTGTTACCTCTGTGAGCAAGAGCACCAAACCTGCCCCTCAGACACCTACTGAGGTGGGCTGTGCCCAACTTCCCATATGGAATTCCTGCCTGGCTTTTTGGGTGAAGTTTAACTAAAGGTAGAACAGCACATGAAGGCAACTTCAGAACTCCAAGATGCCTTTTTGGATCCATTTATGCCCAGGAAACAGAGGACACCATGCTCACACAACAGTTGCACACACATGCATCCCCCAAGCAGCAACTGCATTCAGTGTGTGAGTTTTAGGCTAAAAACAAAGGCAGATTCTGTTAGTCCTCAGAGATTTCACCTCTGATTTATGTGCCAGATGAAAATTGGTCTGTTCAAAAGAGATCTTAAAACTATTTACCATAAACTGCTGTGGAGCTTGTGGTAAACAGTGAAGTGTTAATGTGCTCTGTCACAAGTCTGGTTTCAAAAGACTCATTTGTATGCTTCAAAGACTCAATTTTAGCACAAGTTAGTTCAGTCTTAAGCAGCAGAATCTCAAAAATCACAAAGGCACTCAAGAAAACTCTTCAGCATCTGTAGGTTATGGTAGGTCAGTGCCCTTTGAAGCACCAAGAGCCCCAAACCCACCCCCAGGTGTTACCAGTTCCATCATCTTTCAACACTACAGGGGCAAAAATCAGTCACTTGCAAATGCACTGGGAGAGAAGCAACAACACTGGGGTCATTTTGGCAATGCAGGAAAGTTGCTTTGGAGGGAGTATTTCCACGTGTCTCAAACCACGTGAGCTCTGCCAAATAAACTACAAGTGCAGAGAGGTCTTCCAAGTTCACCTCATTCCCATTCAGCTGCTGAGTTAATGGTTAACCTGCTCCCTGAGAGCCACACTGACAAGTTCCATACCTCATAAAAGGGCAATCTGGGGATCAAACCCTTTGCTAAGAAGGCAGAGAGAGCCCCAAGAGTGACCTGAATGCAGGAGAGCCAAGTTAAGGACACGTTTCACAGTGTGTCCTCTGGCCCTGGAGGAATGGCTTGGGGTTACTGTAAGCTCATGAAATCCTCTGATGTGTGTGTTGGGTTCACACACCTTCCAGTGGGACATCAGGAAGATATTCAAGTAGTGACAGCTTGAGAAAACACTCCATCATGAGCAGTGACTCGTGGTGACCTCCTCCTCTTCCAACCCTGATGTTCTCAGTTGGGTTTAAACCCTGAAGTTGTGTTTTAAACATCACCCTCGACTCTCACTTTCATTGCAGGCAATAATAAACAGTATTTTGGTCAGATTTCATATAAACACACATCCTTTTTCACTGATTTGAGGTATAGATGATCTCATTTGTACAAACAGTTGAGAGCCTCAGCTGTCAGGTGTGACTGTTCCACACTGGGATGTGAAACTCCTGCTACGTGTGCAATGGTGCACAGAAGCAGCAACAACGTGTTGTGCTGTTAGTTCACAGAATGGTTTGGGTTAGAAGGGACCTTAAAACCTTCAAGATTTCTGCCTAGAGGAAGAACTTCCTCCCTGTGAGGTGCTGAGGCACTGGCACAGGTTGCCCAGAGAAGCTGTGGCTGCTCCATCCTTGGAAGGGTCCCAGGCCAGGATCAACCTGGTCTAGTGTAAGGTGTCCCTGCCCATGGCAGGAGGTTGGACTAAATGATCTTCAAGTGCCTTCCAACCCAAACCACCCTGGGACTCTGTGATTTATCATCATCTAGTTCCAACCAAATTAAATTACAACAACTTATCTTAAACAGCACAGGGACAGGAGAATCCTTCACACTAGAGCCAGCTCAAGGTCCAGGCTGAGATTCTGCTCCCTACTAAATCCCTAGTGGGAGCTGTTACCAAAGGCCCCATCCCAGGTCCCTGACCCTGGCCTGGCTGTGTGTGCAGTTCTGTTACCACCTGCAGCACTTCGTGCATGGCCTTCCACGACCCCTGTGCAGGCAGTGCAGAGGGAGAGAGGCAGCAGAGAGAAAGAGAAAAGACACTGTGCCTGGGAGGCAGGGCCAGAGGGCAGAGCAGCAGGAGGCAGGGCCAGGTTGCTGGGTGCTCAGGGGAGCTCTCCCAGCCCAGGGGCTGTGTCTGAGCTCGAGCGTTTCCAAGTGCTCCAGGGATCTGCTCAGCCAGGGGAGCACAGGGAAGGGAGGGGAGAGAGCAAGAAAAAATACAGGAAGAAGGTATTTCATTAATAGATGATACTCTTGCAACACTTTTTCCTCTCCAATTATCTATGCAGCACGTGGTGATTTTTATCTATCTGCATTCTCAAGTACCTCCTTTTGGTAAGGAAACATCCCCCTGTGTTAAGGAAGGCAGGGAATAGGAAAACAGCAGCTTCATAGTTTGGTGATTTGCAAGATGACTACTTAATCTATGATTTATGACACTCAGTTAAGTACAGGCAAACTCCCCACTCCACTCATGGTACAGAGAACAACAAACACAACAGGTTGTTTCAGATCTGATCAATTCAGCAGCAAATCCAGGTGTGTTGCATCCTATCTCCAACGATTTTTAAAAGAAATACAATTAAAATAGTGTAACCTGTGGTATACATAAACCCTAAACTCATTTAAAGCTCCTCTTACTGTGTTTCTCCCTGAGAAAGAAGCACCAGGGGATTGCAGTGGAAAAGGTTCCAGCCAAAGGCAATGAGCTCAGCACAAACACGTTAGGAGGAGAGGCTGAGTGCTGCCCCTTCTAAAAATAGACAAGAAGGAAAAAACAGAGCAAAAGTGGCCCCATTGTTGTGCACTTCTCTGAGCCAGGCAGGAAGTGAGGGCTCAGCACAAACTGCTCCTCGAAGTGCAGAGGGCACAGGGAGCAGAGCCTGAGGTGCTGCAGGTCAAAGTGTTCTAACCCTAAACTCTGTGCACACCCGGGAAGATGTAACTCTTATTGACAGTCCTCTCGGAGAGCTGTGTGGGAGCACCACCTGATGATCAGCAAGGGCAGGATCACTTTTACTCACAGCAGTTCTGGAAATTAACAGTTCAGCTGGGCCAGGAGTTCCTGAGGGAGCTGTGGCTGCTGCTACCTCTGTGCTGATTCAGCCTCCTGCTTACTCCAAACCCAGCAGTTCTAAACACCTTTTGCTGGTACATAATCTCTACTCTTCAGTAGGAAAGCTAATTTCTCCCTCCTTCACCATGTTTTCCTGACACAAGCCTTGGTGTTACCATCACACTCCTGCAGGGTGTCCTTACTGACGGACATGGAGGTGTGAAGATTCAAGAGAAACTTGTAGCAAGTTCTCTGCAATGTGTTTCATTTGTATCTAGAGCAACACTTACTTTGCAGCAGGACTGCAGGGGTGAAGGACAGATGGCAGGACAGGCAAGTGCAGCCAGAACCCACTCACAAGGTGCTGGACACTCATCCCCACTCGCCCCGTGGCACTAATCCAGGCAACAGGAAACACCACAGACCTGCACATCTTCCAGGTGTGAGATCAGCATCCCCAGCACTACCACAGAGGTTTGGACTTCTGCAAACTCCTGAGGAATCGCCTTTGTCCTCCCACCAATGCAGAGCCTTTCCAGCCCTCACACCTCACCTGTCGTGTTTGTTCTCCTGTGCCGCTCGCAGCAGCTCCTGAATATTCTTGGTGATCTGCTCAGTTTTCCGAATCACATCTTCAGTACTGGGCAAACTGGAGCTGTGGGCTGAGTCTGCATCCTCAGGGATGGATCCCTCCCCCTGCCAAATGACACTCCTCTGCCGGCCCTTCCTGCCCGACCTGAGGAGAACACAGCAGAGGTTGGGCCGAGGGACAGACTGACACGACTCCCCGTGCCAGGGCAGCACAGAGCCATGACCTCAGCTCTGGGCCACAGCACCTACCCTGACTCCTCCAGCTCCTGAGGTGTTGGGGGGTTGTCATAGTCACTCTCAGACACACTGCTCTGCTTCTCCAGCTTCGAGCCCTGCAAAGAACACAGATTTATGTCAGATTTTTGCCCTGGGCTGTGCCAGTGCCATGTCCTTGCTCTTAGCACAACAGCTCCTATAGTATCATAGTATGTTAAGGGATTGGGATGGAGCTTAGAGATCATCTAGTCCCAACTCCCTGCCCTGGGCAGGGACACCTCCCACCAGACCAGGCTGCTCAAGGCTCATCCAACCTGGCTGTGAACACTGCCAGGGTTGGGGCAGCCACAGCCTCCCTGGGCAACCTGGGACAGTGTCTCACCACCCTCACAGCAAAGACTTCTGCTTAAGATCTAATCTAACTTCCCCTTTCAATTTCTCCCCATTGCTTCTTGTCCTGTCACTGCAGCTCCTAACACAGATCCCTCTGCAGCTTCCCTGGAGCCCCTTCAGCTCCTGGCAGGTTGCTCTGAGGTCGCCACAAAACCTTCTCTTCTCCAGGCTGAACAGTCACAACTTTCTCAGCCTGTCAACTGAGACCTGCTGTGCCCCCTAACCCCATGCCAAGCCCCTGCTGCCAGTCTGGACTCAAGGCCCTGGGCATGGCACAGCCCCACCAGCCCCTGAGCACTCAGCACCCAGCAGGGCAGGACAGACAGTCACAGCACAATGTCCTTCCCCTGCCACCAAAACCACCCAGGGGCACACACGGAGGAGCCCACCAGGAGTAGAGGCCAAACAGAAAAAGCAGGACCATAAAACAGGAGCTGAAGAGTGAGCAGGAGCCCACTGGAGAGGGGAGACCCCCAGGAAGAAAGAGGCCAGACCAAGAGCTGGAGGCCCACAGCAGAGAGAGGGCAGAGACCACGTGGGAGGCTGAATGCAGGGTGGAAACCAAACCCAGTGTGGGAGGCTGAAAGGAGAATTGAGGCCCAACATAAGAGGCTGAACCAAGTGAGGGAAGCCCAGGAGAGAGCAGAGGCCAAATCCTGCATGGGGGTCTGACCCCAGAGTAGGAGCTGGCCCTGGGAAGCCTAAACAAAGGTTGAGGACTGTGGCAATGGGAAAGGCAGAACAAAGACAGCAGACTGCAGTGATGGCAGGAGACCAAACTGTGGGTGCAAGACCAAAGGGCACGTAGGAAGCCAAACTGATGGGTCCTGAAGCCCATTGCAGACTGAAGGCCAAAATGGGGTGAGAGGCCAAACTGTGAGGAACTGAGGCCCACTAAATGCTTGAGACTGATACAAGGTCAGAGGCCAAATAAGGGAGAGTTGTGGCTCAGAGCAGAGCACAGGATGCAACAAAGGTGGGAGATCCAACCATCAGGAGTAGAGGGCCACGGAAGAATGGGTGTTCCACCCCAAGTGGGAGCTGAAATGAGGGCAGGAAGGACGCAGGGAAGCAGAAGTTGGATTGAGCACTGTAGGCCCATTGCAAAGTGGGAGACTGATCCAACTGGGAAGTTGATCCCAGAGCAAAGGTTGAACGAAGAATGGGATACCAAAAGGACCTTGGAGGCCAAATCCTTGGAGCCCTCAGAAGCACTGAAGGATGAGGGAATCTCAAGTGTTGGACTGTAAGGGACACCTCCAATTTGCATCCCTGATCCATACACTTAGGAATCCACTTATGCAATAATACTTCTACCTCAAGGACAGAACAAAAATGTGACCAGGGACTGGTTTTCCTTGGCTGAGATCCAGTGTGTTTGTTGAGCACTCGTGACGTTAAACCCAACCATACCTGACTGAAACACCTGGAGTGTGAGCCCTTCCTGTCCATTTTGAAGCTACTGTGCTCAGGAGGCAAACCCAGCATTTTTTTAACACTCCCCTCCCAGGGGAGTTCTATTTTGAAGAAAAAATACTATTATATGTAGGCTCTGACCTCTCCCAGATGCACAGAGAAAACAATACAAACAGTGGCAAAGCTCTGCCCTATGCTCAGAAACAGTGGCAATGATGCCATAGGATATTATGGAATCAGCATAAAACCAACCAACCAAACCCTCTGCAAGTTTCTCATCCCTCACAGCACTGCTATCAGCTGCAGCCAAACCCAGATTTCCATTTGACCAAGTAGAATATTCCCTTGGAAATATTATCATCTACCCCTAGTTGCAAACCTACTATTTTCTGGACTGATATGACAAAACTCTGCACAACCCAAATAAAATGGGGACATAAGGAATTAAAAAGCAGGTTCTGAGTCCTGGCAGGGAGAGGCCATTCAACATCTAAAGCCACAAACTGTTATCTGTAGGACAAACAGTGCATCAGGACCACTGGATTGGTGCCAAGTGCCAGCCCCCAAGGAAAGCAGCTCTGAAGTTGGGCCCCAG